CTTTTCTTGGCCATCTGCCTCTGGTTCCTTTGTCAGTTGAGCTAGCCAGCTGGGGAGAGGGTCCCAAACCTCGCAGAGAAATGGATGATTATCCTAATACGATAAAAGTTCCTATAGTACTTTCAGACTATAAATGCCTGAGCACAGAAATAAATATAGAGGTTCTTACTAGAGTACTTCCAGCTTTCTGTTCAATAAGCAGAACTTGTAATAACTTAGAGTAGGAGGAAGAATAGCAATTGTATATGGAATTTCAGCTTTGCTAAGTGATGTGGTAAATGTGTCCTTACATGCTGAATTCCCACATGGCAAAGGGCATAGACACTTGGCATGAGAACTTGAGGAAAACATAATCTCAGTCCATCTGCACATACTTGTTGAAAAGCAGACAGCGAGTTTTCCTGTAGAAAGTCCGAATGCGTTTTTCTCACATTACAGTTCTTTTCTCATGTCTGTTGCACTACCTGGCTGAAAGCTTTTGGGGTGGAGAGCTCGCACAACAGCCCTGAGAGCAGCCAGGGCAGGGTGCTCCACTTCTCTGGGGCTGTGATCGAGGTTCCCCCTCCTGTCCTTGTGCCTCTGTGCTCCTTTGTGTTCATGGAGAGGATCTTTTACTGACACAACCAAACAGTTGGCAGTTCTGCATTAATCAAATCTAGACAGTGCCATGGCGATTGAAGTTACAGTCAGAACTACAGTCAGCATCAGCCAGGTGTTGAAGGAACCATTGTGAGCGTTGCTGCTGCTGAATGAGTAATAGAGTGAGCGTTGCTGCAGCTGACCAGTGTCCCATTTGGAATAAAACCTTCTCTGCCAAGTGCAATGAACCAGAACATTATGGTCAGGGCCAGAAAGCTGCAACCGTCTCGTCCTGATCTCTTGATGCTTGTTGAAGACTGCTTTTATTTGCACACTACATCTCATCTCCCTTTCCTCTCTTCTCTCCTGTTCCATCTGCAAAGTGGCTACCAGAAGGATCAATAACAAGGCAGGACAACAGGTCCTTGGAGAGTGGTGACACCCAGCTCAGTTCTGCTGACCTGTGCAGCACAGGAAAACATCGTGGCCAGCAGCAGGCAAAGACTGAGGCAGTTACTTGGTCCTTCATCTGCACAGCAAAATCAATGCAGATGGACTGACAGAAGCAGGAGGGTTATACTGTGAAGGGTTGACTTGTCCTGCTGGTAAGAAATATTTGTGCTCTGTGAAAAATCAGTGTGCCCAGCTAGCTGCCCACAAGTCAGGTTGGGGCAAAATACAGCTCTCTCCCAGCAGTACCAGGAGCTGGGATCACTGGCTGTGCTCTCTGCTCACCACACAGTTACACTGTCCGGCAGAACGCGTTTGGTGCGGCCCTGAGTGGCAGCAGCTCTTGGCCTGCCAGTTCCCTGGGCAGAGACAGTTCTGTCTTCACTTTCTGGAAGGAGCCCAACACCAGTGCCACAAAAAGCCAGCAGAGAGGCAGTGTTTGCTTGTTACTTTTTTTGTCGTGTGGGCTGGCAGTCCGTTGGTGGAGTAGGAAGAAGTGTCTGATCAGATGAGGCTGAGCCTGAGGCAGACTTGGGGAGTTTCCCTGCCAGGACTCAGCCAGGGCTGGGATAGAGATGGGGTGGGGGTAGTGGAGGCTGGTGGAGCCTTTCTGTGCTGTAGGAGGGAGGACATGTACAAGAGGAGGTGCTAGGAAGGAAAGGGAAGATAAAGCTGTTCTCTCAGGCTACTGCAATAAATCCATCCTCAGAACTCTTTGTATAAATGCTTTTATCTGTACTGTGTCATAGTTCTAAAGAAATGCAACAATTTCCTTGGCCTTCTGCTTGGCCTTTCTTCTAATTTTATTTCTATAGCCAGAGCCTGATACATTGCTCCACTGTAGAAGTGCTGCAAGTAGCAGCAGAACAAAACCTGATGGCAGCTGGAGAGGGACGTTACAACGTGACTCCCTGTGACTGAGAAGCAAGTGGAAGGAGCAACATGGTGTAATAAGTGTAAAGCACATTCATGAGGACATACATTTCCTTAATACTGGTTTGCATATTGTAAGCCTTTGGGTTGATGTACCTTCCTGCATGTCAGTGTATAAAGAGGTGACAAATGTCACCTGTTCCACCCCTCGCCCCAAGCTCCTTCCAACCATGTTACGTCTACTTTTCTCTTTCTTTCTTGAGCACTTTCCAGTGAATTTTCTCAGCCCTTTCACCTCAAGTCTGTGGTTTCGCCTCTGTTTCAACCTGGGGAAAATGAGCACAAGAAGAAATCTTCCATAAATCTTGTCTTGCTGCAAAGCTAGCCCATGGCAGTGGCTGTGCTGCTGAAATGAAGGCAGAGGTGGGAGTAGTGGATGCAGTGCTGGGTACTAAACAGCAGTGTTTACCGGCAAAAATATCCTCTTGGGCTGCATCCTGAGGGCAGGGACATAGCTGTGTTTTTCCCATTAACACTAATGGAAGTCAAGAGGCTGAACCACATGCCGTGCCCTGGCAATGTGCCCCCTTATGTTTCTGTCCTACAAAACCATCTTGTACTTTTTCTCTCAGCTCTGCTTCAACAGCAGGAGGTGTTCAGAGGTGTTAAATGGTTATAGTCATCGTGCTGATGATCATAGGTGCTATTCTCTCAGTTACAAAGAAATGGTATATTTCCAATTTTGCTACCCCCAAATTTAGAGTGTGTGTTGGGCAGGTTGGCCCAGTGTGCACACCACTTCTTAATAGTACAAACAAACCTCTGAGTCAAAGGAATTGCTGAAATCTTACTGAATGTTGGGTGATGATTTCCATCTTGCCTGAAGGTGGTTTGCTCTGCTAGGTGAGGGTAAAGATCCAGCGAAAGGCTTTGCATCTCTGATGAAAACTTACTGGAGGGGGCAGGTAGGACTGCTGGTCCCCTCTCGCTGTTAGCCAGGTACAGTTGGAAATCCTGTCTGGTGTTCTGGTGTGACTGAACCATTCAGTTGCACTGTGATTAAGGACTAAAATGTGAAAACTTGTATGCTTGGCTAAAGCCTGATGAAGCACCTTGACAAAAGGTAATTAGTTCCAGCTGAATGGCAGTTGCCCAGCATTAAGGACTCTGCAGTTTGAATTTTAAACCCTGCCAGTAACACCTGCGACTGGATCCTTGTGAATATGAGTTTGTCTTTGCTGATTTTAAAGTTAGGTGATTTGCACAGTGAGATAAAGGCATAAGGGTTTTGTAGTTGAACACCCAGTCCTGTGGTTACCGTGGAGCTGGTCCTCACCGCCAGCCTCTTCACGCGCTGCACGAGGGGTGAGAGGTGCCGGCTGACGGGCTGACTGCCTGGCTGTTGGAGTAGTGTTCAG